CAGCCTCATGTCCTGGGCTCGGGTTGATCCTCCCCACCATCAGCCTCGCGAGTCCTGGCCACCTCTCCATAGGAACTTGTATCTCGTTTTCTATATTCCATGGAATGGTTGTTACTGAAAAGGCAGGATATAACACAATCATAAAATACGCCACTCTAGATAACTGCAATATCCATCCCTAGGTAACAAAAATAAGACTGAAAGACTATACAAATACCTCCAGATGTTTACACGAGATGAGAAAAAAGAGAAACACAACATATAGATTTGAATATAAGGAATTTATTTTTCTTTAACAGACATGAACCCAACAGGAAAGCTTCTGTTATGGGCTTCTGGGTTGACTCATTTTTGCTCTTTTATTTTCGGTGTTTGTTTTTTTTTTGAGATGGACTTTCCTCTTGTTACCCGGCTGAGTGCACATGGCGCGATCTCAGCTTAGGCAAAACTCTGCCTCTCGGGTTCAGCAATTTCTCTGCTTCAGGTCTCCCCAAGTAGTGGGAATTACAGGTGATGTACCATGCCCTGCTAATTTTTCCTGCATTTTTAGCAGAGACAGGATTTTTCGCCAATGCTTGGCCAGGCTGGTCTTACACTCCCGGACCTCAGATGATCTGCCCGCCTTGGCCTCCCAAAGTGCTGGGATTACAGACATGAGCCACCATGCTTGGCCTTCTCTTTCATTTTCTAAGTTTTTTACTTTTCTGTATTAGGAAATTTTAAAATAATCTTAAGGATGACTGCCACATGCCAGCCATAATGGAGGATGGTCTTTCTTCTACCCTAGACATTTCACACTGCACAGGCCTCACTTGGATCTGACATCTTCCTTTCTGCACTGTGCAGATCCCCTCAGTATATGCAGAGAACAGAAAATCACTTTGCTGCCAGTGGAAGGTAGACAGAAGCTACATTTACTGGGGAAGAAAATACCCTTGCTGTCAAACCATGGCCTGAAAATAAAGGCCCTGAATTATTTCCACCTCTCCCCACTCGATGGCTGCAGAAAATGCTGAGGGTGCTTGCATATGAGGCCATAAAGTTGTAAAGGATGCCTTCCAGCCCCCATTTGGTTTGTTTTGGTGAGAGCTGGGGCCTCTGTGATGGGCAAGCATCAAAACCCATGACCACAGCCATTGGTACTGCTTTCAAAAGCATAGCACCCACCCTAACGCCCTGATAAAGGATTTGTCCAGTAGTCTGGGCGTCAGGATTCCTGGGCTCTAGGCCCCACAGGTGATTCACAGCTAGCCCCAGGCTGTGCCTCCTGGCCTCAGTTTCCCTGGCTTGCTCTATTGGTACTTCCTGCCTACTCTGTGGGGTGTTAATAGGGGTGAGGTGCTTTGAACTTCTCAGATGAAAGAGGCTGGGAAGCAGCACCCAGTTATTATCCCCTATAGAGCCAGGCGTGGGAGCTGAGGTTGCTTTCATACTGTTCCAGTCATAGTAGCCTCCTCATATCCCCTCATTCGTCTGCCTTTGGCTCTGGCTGTCACAACCAGAAAGCAAAGCACAGTCAGTCCTATTTCAATGCTGTTTCAGAACAGATGTCCCTAAATGAATGTGCCAACTGCACAAACCACTGGTGAACTATCTATGATTTAGTAATACTTTATAGGTGCCTAATTTCTTTCTCCTGATTGGCTGCAAAACCTGTGGGACAAGGACTGTGACTTCTCACCAATAAATATACCAAAGGAGGGATACTCACAATTTAGTCAGCAAAACAGCTTATGAGAGAGCCAGGCTGACCAAAGTTCAAACTTCTCATCTTTCTGCTTCTTCACTGTAACATGGGTAATGGCTTATTAATTCTCCCCATCTTGTCTATCTCTAATAAGGATTACGTGTGGAAGCACTCTAAAATACCAAGCACTTCATGTGTGTTAAAAAGTCCAAATGTGGCCAGGTGCGGTGGCTCACACCTGTAATCCCAGCACTTTGGGAGGCCAAGGCGGGTAGATCACGAGGTCAGTAGTTCAAGACCAGCCTGAACAACATGGTGAAACCCCAACACTACTAAAAATACAAAAATTAGCCAGGCGTGTTGGCGGGCACCTGTAATCCCAGCTACTCGGGAGGCTGAGGCAGAGAATTGCTTGAACCTGGGAAGCGGAGGTTGCAGTGAGCCAAGATTGCGCCACTGGACTCCAGCCTGGGCAACAGAGAGAGACTTTATCTCAAAAAAAAAAAAAAAAGTCCAAATGTATGCAAATAAAACTTGGCATAACAGTCTTGCCCAGGGCATCAGTCCTGCCCCTTCTAACACCAGGTTACAACTGCAAAAAGTAAGGCTGGGGTGCCACCTACTGGTTGAAAAATATATGAACTGCATCCAGCCAGTTGCAAGAAGAGCAAAGAAAAAACTTCAAGCCCTCTTAATTTTTGCCACACTCTCATAGGAACTGCCATATTATATATTAATTTTTTCTTTACACAACTTATATATTTTTTTGAGATGGAGTCTCGCTGTGTCACCCAGGTTGGAATGTAATGGCACAATCTTGGCTCACTGCAACCTCTGCCTCCCGGGTTCAAGCAATTCTTCTCCCTGAGCCTCCCTAGTAGCTGGGATTATAGGCATGCAACACCATGCCCAGCTAATTTTTGTGTTTTTAGTAGAGAGGGGTTTCACCATGTTGGCCAGGCTGGTCTCGAACTCCTGACCTCAGGTGATCCGCCCGCATCAGCCTTCCAATGTGCTGGGCTTTCAGGCATGAGTCAACGTGCCCAGCCTTGTATTTCATTTTTGAAGCAAACCTTTTTTTTTGAGACAAAGTCTCACTCTGTCACCAGGCTGGAGTGCAGTGGCACAATCTCCGCTCACTGTAACCTCTGACTCCTGGGTTCAAACAATTCTCCTGCCTCAGCCTCCCAAGTAGCTAGAACTACAGGCATGCACCACCATGCCCAGCTAATTTTTACATTTTTTTGGTAGAGACAGGGTTTCACCATGTTGGCCAGGATGGTCTTGATCTCTTGACCTTGTGATCTGCTGGCTTCGGCCTCCCAAGGTGCTGGGATTACAGGCATGAGACACCGTGCCCGGCCTTGAAGTAAACTTTTAACCACTACTGTAAATAGAAAACTAGTCAACACTTGTCAAAAATAGAATAAAGCCATAAAACAAATAAAATGAATATAAAACATTAATAAAGGTCTAGCCAGGAATTGTTGCCTGTGAAAGCTGAGTTTGAGGCTCTGTTAAAACTGAAAATATTGGGACACAGTGGCTCACACCTGTAGTCCCAGTTACTCAGGCGTCTCAGGTGGGAGGACTGCTTGAGCCTAGGAGTTTGAGTCCAGCCTGGGCCATATAGTGAGACCTCATTTTTTTTTTTTTTTTTGAGACAGAGTCTCGCTCTGTCACCCAGGCTGGAGTGCAGTGGCGCGATCTCGGCTCACTGCAAGCTCCGTCTCCCGGGTTCACGCCATTCTCCTGCCTCAGCCTCCCGAGCAGCTGGGATTACAGGCACCCACCACACACCCGGCTAACTTTTTGTATTTTTAGTAGAGACGGGGTTTCACCGTGTTAACCAGGATGGTCTCCATCTCCTGACCTCGTGATCCGCCCGCCTCGGCCTCCCAAAGTGCTGTGATTACAGGCTTGAGCCACCGCGCCCAGCCGAGACCTCATCTTTTTAAATAACAAACAAACCTGAGAACCAAAAACTGAAGATTAATAAAAACACCTTACTAGAGACTGAATGTCAATCCTATGTGACTGAATGTGAATTATATGCTTTGGGGAAATACTGATTATTCTAAGGGAAGGTGACACTCCCTCATTCTTCCCCAAACCCCTGGGCCCGGAAGACTGAAGAAGAGTTTGGAAGTCACAAAAAGTAGAATATAAACTCTTGTATTGCAGCACATTCCTTCACAGCCTGAGTAGGACCAGTGCTCGACTTTCTGGTGGCAGGGCCCAGAGCTCACAGACACCACTGCCAGTATGGTAGGTGTTCTGCTTGGCGCCATGTCTGGCTTTTTGGCCAGAAGTCCTTTGCAGAGCTCAATATCCCCTTGCCAGCCCGCCAGCTCTCGCTGGGAGGACTTGCTCTTGGGTCTGCAGCCTGCTTCAGGAGCCTCCACTTTCCCCAGTGCTGGGTTATGCATCCTGCTCTCCAGGATCCACCTTGTTGCTATAGCTGCATGGCTTCCTGCTCCACTGACTGGTTCGAGGGTGCCAGGTACTTCTCCTGGATGCCCAGTGTGCTGAGGAGGGGTGCGTCAAGGCTGATAGCATAGGCAGAGGATGGGGAGCTGGTCTGGGCAGGATGTGACTTCCGCTGATGCCTACACTCCAACCATGTTCATCCCTCTCTTCCTCATAAATTATAGGGACCAATCAAGTATGAGAAGCCTCCAAAAACATCCAGACTCAAATGCTCCTCCTCTATATGCCTCTTCCACACACTGCTGCGGATCAAAGGACTGAAGAGCGCTAACCTTCCAATGTTGTGTTATGGTACATGCTCTGGAGCCAGACCAAGTGGGTTCAAATCCTGATGATGTCTGGGTCTGGGGTCTGGCGAGGAGATGGAGGTTAGCCATGGCTAGGTTGGCTATGTTAGGACACCACGGCTGTTCTACTACCAAATGGCTCCAAAGGAAGAAACTGAGATTCTACACCCAGCAAAACCAAGGTTTGAACTGTTCTTCCAAAACATCCCGGGAGAGGGACCTTGGGCCTGTCGCCTCACTTATAAAAGGGCTTGAAATGAGAATTAAATAACCCTGCAAATAAAATACTTAGCCCACCAAATGATGTTCAAGTTACAGACCTTTTTCTTTTTTTTTTTGTTAGACGGAAGTCTCCGCTCTGTCACAAAGCTGGAGTGCAGTGGCACGATCTCGGCTCCACCTGCAACCTCCAACTCCTGGTCAAGCAACTCTCCTGCTCAAGCCTCCAGAGTAGCTGGGACTACAGCACCCGCCCACCACACCCAGCTAATTTTTGTATTTTTAGTAGAGATGGGGTTTCACTGTTGGCCCAGGATGGTCCCGATCTCCTGACCTCGTGATCTGCCCACCCTCTGCCTCCTACAATGTGCTGGGATTACAGGCGTGAGCCACCGGCCCTGGCCTTTACAGACCTTTTTTCTTACTGTCTCTATGAATCCATCAACCAAAATCCATCTCACCCCTAGTCAGATTGACTCTCAACTGGTGCCCTTCCCATGTGCTTTCCCACGCAGATACTGCCTTATTTCTGTGCAAGCTGGCCCTGAAGATCACTGAGGATCAGTGAAATCCCACCTTGCTTATCTCTGACCTAATGCCCCACATTCCTGATAGGGCATACAAAGCCTCACCTCCTACCTGCCTACCTGTCTGGCCCACTGCTGCTCCCCTCTCTGAGTCCTTGCCCTGCTCACAAGTCATGTCATCCTACTTTTTTTTTGAGATGGAGTCTCACGCTGTCACCCAGGCTGAAGTACTGTGGCGCCATCTTGCTCACTGCAACCTCCACTCCTGGGTTCAGCGATTCCTGCCTCAGCCCCCCAAGTAGCTGGAACTACCAGGCGTGCACTACCACACCAGCTATTTTTGTAATTTTTTAAATAGAAACAGTGTTCGACCATTTGCCAGGTGATCTGGACCAGGTGATCTGCCCCCACTGGCCTCCAAGTGCAGGATTACAAGCGTGAGCCACCATGCCCAGCCCCTACTTTTTGTCAAAAATAAATTTCTTTACTTTAAAAAAAAAAGAGAGAGAGAGAGATGGGGTCTCACTATGTTGCCCAGTCTGGTCTCAAACTCCTGGCCTTGAGCAATCCTCCCACCTTTTAACTCCCAACATGTTGGAATTACAGGCATGAAGCCATTACACTTGGCCCATGCCATCTTATTTGCAACCCTCAAAACCTGTCTCAACTTTGAACCTCTATGCCTTTGCATATACTGTTCTCTTTAACTTGAATTCCCTTTCCTTCTTCATTAGACTGGCTAACCCTCACCTTGAAATGATGCAACTCACGTGCCACGACTCCATAAAGCTTTCCTTACCCACCTACCCTTCAGCAGAGCTGACTGCTCCCTTCTTTGTATCAGTCCCTACTCTCTTATAGCGAGCTGCTGAATCTTTTTTTTTTTTTTTTTTGAGACGGAGTCTTGCTCTGTCACCCAGGCTGGAGTGCAGTGGCACAGTCTCGGCTCACTGCAAGTTCCGCCTCCTGGGTTCATGCCATTTTCCTGCCTCAGCTTCCCAAGTAGCTGGGACTACAGGCACCCGCCATCACGCCCAGCTAATTTTTTGTATTTTTAGTTGAGACAGGGTTTCACCGTGTGAGCCAGGATGGTCTCGATCTCCTGACCTTATGATCCGCCCACCTCGGCCTCCCAAAGTGCTGGGATTACAGGCGTGAACCACCGTGCCCTGCTGAGAGCTGCTGAATCTTAAGTGGGTTAGGGTTGGGGCAGAATCTAAAATCAGCACAAATGTATATGGTTAAAAATACCCTTGAAAATTCCTCAAATTATTTGTTAAATGCAGCATACATGGTTTTGTGAACAGAATCCTTTATATATATGAATACATAAAGTAACGTACAGATGCTCCATGACTTATGATGGGGTTACATCCTGATAAACCCATCCCAAATCAAAAATATCTTAAGTCGAAAATGCATTTAATACACATAACCTACCACACATCAGTTTAGTCTCACCTACCTTCAATATTCTTAGAACACTTACGTTAGCCTGCATTTGGGCAAAATTATCTAACACAAAGCCTGTTTTATAATAAAAATATCTCACGTAATTTACTGAATACTGTACTGAAAGTGAAAGAATGATTGATAGGTACCCAAAGTACAATTTCTACTGAATGCATACAGCTTTCACGCCATTGTAAAGTTGAACCATCTTAAGTTGGGAACCATGTGCACGGTGTACAAAATATTACAACACTATTTAAATTGCTCCTCCCAGCCTAGGCTGCATGGTGAAACCCCATCTCTACTAAAAAAAAAAAAAAAAAGGCGAGGCGGGCTGGCTGACACCTGTGGCTCACCCAGCATTTTGGGAGGCCGAGGCCGAGGCGTCTCAAAGAGACAGAGTCTCGCTCTGTCGCCCAGGCTGGAGTGCAGTGGCATGATCTCGGCTCACTGCAAGTTTCATCTCCTGGGTTCACACCATTCTCCTGTCTCGGCCTCCCCAGCAGCTGGGACTACAGGTGCATGCTGCCACACCCGGCTAATTTTTTGTATTTTTAGTAGAGACGGGTTTCACCTTGTTAGCCAGGATGGTCTTGATCTCCTGACCTTGTGATCCGCCCGCCTCAGCCTCCCAAAGTGCTCAGATTACAGGCGTGAGCCACCGCGCTCAGCCAAAAGTCCATCTTAAATTTAAAAAACAAAAAATTGCTCCTCCCCTCCCTTGCTGAGCACATGCAGTCCAATTAATTGGCCTACATTAACTGCAGGTGTGACACAGCTCCTTAGTACCTTCACCAGACACTGCACACTCTACTACCATTATTTGTAAGTCATTCATCCAACCCCCGCCCCATGAGCTTTGTTTCCCACATATGGCTTGACACAGATCAGTAAGTGTTGGCTGGAATTCTTTTCCTCTGTACCCTAAGACTCTGAGTCCCCCTTGTCTCCAGCATGCTGCGTAGATGCTGAATCTGTGACAGCATCAGTCTAGAGGGCCTGGACTTTCCTGTTCTGTTTCACGTATGGCCTCTGTGACCTGATGGACACCTCTTGGCTCCAGCCTCACTAGTCACTAACCAAGCTCCAAAGTCTGGCTACCTCTTGGATAGCTCTGGATGTCCCATGGACCCCTGAACACAGCACATCTGCCAGCTCTTGTCCCTTTTATCCATGTGAAAAACCTGCCCCCTCCTCCTTTTCCTGCCTCAGTGATTAGTAAAACCACCCATGCACTGTCTAAGCCAGAGATGTGGGAAGCTAAATTCTGCTCCAGCTCCATCTACCCATTCAGTCACTGACTCTTATAGTCTATCTCCTTAGTATTTTTCCATTCCACACCTTTCTATTCTCACTACAAATTTTTCATCCCTTCTCACCTAACAAGACTGTAAAACTCTTCTGCCCCCAATCACAACCCTTAAATGCATTTTCCACAATTGCAGGGGCTTTCCTGAAATGTACATGTTATCGTGTCATACCCTGTTCAACAGTACTGCTTGAATAGTGGCTCCCACTGCCCACTCATGAACTGAAGTCCACATTCCTTAGTAGGGCACTCAGGCCCCTCCCTCGGCAGCCCTGCCTGCACCCCTGCAAAGTCCTTTCCTCTTCACATGCAACACACCAGGCAACTGGACCTCTGCATCTCTCCCAAATGACCAATGCCCTCTGATTTCTGGACCTCTGTATTTGTTGCTCCTACTGCTCAATATCATCCCTTGTCCTCAGTACAACCAACTCTGAAGCCAAGGGACCACCTTTGCACATGAGAGACAGTCATCAGGAAGCCCAACAGATCAATATGAATCAGTCATCCACAGGTGGGTGCAGTGGCTCACGTCTGTAATCCTAGCACTTTGGGAAGCTGAGGCGGGTGGATCACCTGAGGTCAGGAGTTCCAGATCAGCCTGGCCAACATGGTGAAACCCCGTCTCTACTAAAAATACAAAAATTAGCTGGGCACAGTGGCACATGCCTGTAATCCCAGCTACTCAGGAAGCTGAGGCAGAAGAATCGCTTGAACCTGGGAGGCAGAGGTTACAGTGAGCCAAGACTGCGACATTGTGCAATCCAGCGTGGGCAACAAGAGGGAAACTCCCTCTCAAAAAAAAAAAAAAAAAAGGTCACCCAGAAGGATGATGACTGCACCTCCTGTGGCCATTCCTGAGCCCCATGTCTCACCCTCTCCGCTATGGCCAGGAAGCTGGCAAGGATACGAAGAGAAATGGAAGTCGGCTCCCATTGCGGCAGACATCATGGCCTCTAGGCTTCGCTGCTCTTGGGCTCCGAAACAGTATCCACTGGCTTTATCTACAGCCTGCAGGACTCGCTGGATGCTCTCCTTGTCCTGAGCAGGGAGGAGAGAAACAGTTTTGTGAGTGAAACAGAAGTGTGTAAAACTGCTTGCAATCTCTAAATACACCTTCCTCCATCTTGCCTCTGTATGTGTAGCTTTCTTGGCCTGGAGTAGTTCTACATGTCCCCAAAGGCTGGATAAATCCCATGTTTTCTGACCACCAACCCACTCAGATTAGAACAGATAAGCTCCCCTATGCACATCCATAGTCCCCTGGGTTTACATTTATTGTACATGTAATAAATGCCTATTAACTCACCTGCCTCCCCTACTAAACTAAGCACCTCTTAGGGCCAGATCATCTGTCGCAGTATTCCCAGTGCCTGGCACAGTACTTCTCTTAAGCAGATATCCAATAAATATGCATGTTTTAAATCTATAACTGGGCCAGGCGCAGTGGTTCACGCCTGTAAAGCCCAGAACTTTGGGAGGCTGAGGCAGGTGGATCACTTGAGGTCAGGAGTTTGAGACCAGCCTGGCCAACATGGTGAAACCCTGTCTCTACTAAAAATACAAAAATTAGCTGGGCATGATGACAGATGCCTGTAATCCCAGTCACTTGTGAGGGTGAGGCAGGAGAATCGGTTGAACCCAGGAGGCGGAGGTTGCAGTGAGCTAAGATCACACCACTGCACTCCATCCTGGGCGACAGAGTGAGATTTCCGTCACACACACACAAAAAACTGTAACTGTTTCCTCATCCATATACAGTAATAAAAACAGTCTATATATCACATGGTGGGAAGGACAAACCAAAATTACATATGTCTAGTCCTTAGCAAAGTGCCCAGCACAGAAAGCCATAAATAAGAGGTAACTGTTATGATTGATATTATAGAGTTCATCTCCTCATATAAGCGTGGCATTAGAAGTGAGGAGACAAGTTAGCTCAAGTTCACCCACTGCAGAAAGGAATCTAACATGTACCTGCGTCTCCCAGGTTATCTCTGCAGGGTAAAGGTGAGAGGCACAGGGGTTGGGTACCACTTTGCAAAGTCAACAGACAGTTGCCCAGTTGAATGGGCTTAAGAGACTTGTCCCTGGTCCTGGTCAAGTTTCTTGCTGATGACTTTCTGAACTCACCCATTTTCACACTGAGGAGGGAACATGTGAAGAGAGGATCCAGCAAAATAGAATAGACAGGCAAAAGTTTGGTCTACTCTCTTTACTGGAATTCTGCCCCTACAGCAGCCCCTGGTCCTGAAACTAAGATTACTCAGTGATAGTCAACCCAGGGCAAAGACCATTGTTTAAGCCCTCAAAGCATCCTGTGCTTTTGGCTTGGTGAATCCCAGGCACTGTCAGAGTCCTGTCTTAGCCCCCAGTACCTGGATGTTCAGAGGGATAAAGGACACCAGGCTATAGTCTTCGATGAGTTGCACTAGCTTCTCATTGAGCTGGCGGTAGTGGCGGAAGAAAGGGTCAGAAGCCAGGTGGTCAAGCAGGTAGGAGAGGTCCAGAACCTCTGTGTAGTAGTCCAGGTTGAAGGCTAAAGAGAGAAAACTGTGTTCAGGAACAACCAGTATCAGGCTAAAGACCTGAGGACGAGGTTCGTTTTTCTTTTTTTCCTTTGTGTATTTATGCACTCAAGTATTACTTGACACAGTAAAATGGAGTTACTAAGAAAAAAAGCTTTTGGTTTTACCCTGCTGGCTGTGCTATTTACTAGCTATATAGGCAGGTACCTATTTTATAGCACTGTTATGAAGATTAAATGCTATAAACCCCAGTGTCTGGTACAGAGAAGTGCTTGATCAACAACTGCAAACAGGCTGGGCTCAGTGGCTCACGCCTGTAATCCCAGCACTTTGGGAGGCCGAGGTGGGTGATCACCTGAGGTCAGGAGTTCAAGACCAGCCAATATGGTGAAACTCCATCTCTACTAATACAAAATTAGACGGACCTGGTGGCACATGCCTGTAATCCCAGCTACTCGGGAGGGTGATACAGGAGAATCACTTGAATCTGGGAGGCAGAGGATGCAGTGAGCCGAGATTGCACCATTGCACTCCAGCCTGGGCAACAGGAGCGAAACTGTCTCAAAAATAAATAAATAAATAAAGTTGCAAATAATGATATCAAACATGGACCAAGAACTGTGTATGGCTGTCCTCACCTCACAGAGCTCACAGTCAGGTCATACCCTCAGGACCTGGCATGTACACTGCAAAGACTCTGTAAATGGTTAAACTGAATAAATGCTACATTCTAGCAGGGTAGCCTCCTGGGTATATCACTTTCCTTTTCTGAGCCAGTTATTTCTTAATGTAAAATAAGGACTAGATGATGCTGAGGTCCCTGATTTGGTTTTATAAATCATTTCCCACTAAAAGAAGTAAGTTGCACCTCCCCCTAGTGGCCTGTTTCTGCCCAGAAAACTTAAGTATCTAGGCTCCTTGGCAGATCTATCCTAAAGTGAGCTGAGGACTCTACATCACTCTATGTCTAGACTAGAAGCTAGCTGGCTCCCTGGACAAGGTCCTGACACCTCCCTTTCCTCCCTACTGCTTATGTGCTGGTCATTTTATCTGTCTTCTCTAGGTTCCTTTGTGGCTAGAGATGCTATTTAGGGAACAATGTCCCCAGTTCAGGAGAGTGCTAATTTTTTTTTTTTTTTTTTTGAGACGGAGTCTTGCTCTGTCGCCCAGGCTGGAGTGCAGTGGCGCGATCTCAGCTGCACTGCAAGCTCGCACCTCGCCGGGTTCACACCACTTCTTCCTGCTCAGCTGCCTGAGTAGCTGAGACTACAGAGCGCCTGCCACCACGTCCAGCTAAGTTGTTTGCTCTTTTTTTTTCTTTTTTTGAGCACAGCAGTCTCGCGACTTGCGAGCCCAGGTTAGAGGCCAGTGGCCAAGTGATCGGGGCTCGCCACTGCAAGGCTCCGCCCGGGTTCACGCGTGACAATTCGTGCCTATGCTCAGCCCTGAGTTTAGCTTGGGCTTGACAGGCGCGCCGCCCGAACGTCCGGTAAATTTTTGTATTTTGTAGTAGAGACAGGGTTGCACCAGTCTAGCGCAGCGATCGGGTCTCGACGTCTGCGATGACCTCGTGCAATCCCTCCGCCTGTAGACCCTCCAGAAGTACTGGGAGTTAAGGCTGTTAGCCACCAGCCTCGCACCGGGCCCTGTTAATTTGTCAGAGATGGCGTTCGAGCCATGCGTTAGCCAGGATGGTCCTCAATCTCGCTGACCTCCGTGAGATCTGCCGCGCTCGCGGCCTGCGCCAGTGCTGTGAATTACAGGTGTGGCCTCCCGATGGCCTGGCTGCTAATTTTTTTGTTTCTTATTTCTTTTTTTTTTTTCTTTTTTTTTTAGGGATGGAGTTTCTTCTTGTTGCCCAGGCTGGGAGTACGAATGGCGTTGCATCTGCTCATGACAACCGTCCGGGAGGGGCCTCCCAGCGGTTCATAATGTGATTCTTCCTTGCTCCAGCCTCGCGAGTAGCTGGTTACAGGCATGCCTCAGCCCATGCGTTGGCTTGACTTGTTTGTGTAATTTTTAGTAGAGATGGGGTTTCTCCATGTTGGTCAAGCTGGTCTCGAACTCCTGACCTCTGGTGATCTGCCACCTTGGCCTCCCAAAGTGCTGGGATTACAGACGTGAGCCACCACGCCCGGTCGAGAGTACTAATTTGTCAAGAAAAAAAAACTGGCCACTGGGACTCTAGCCAACTCCCCTCATACCAGCCCGCTTCAATCTTCCCTATTTTGTCCCTGGCCTCCCACCCCTTCTCTATCTCTCTGCCATGTGAGAATATAGCCTCCTTCTGTGAGGACAGAAGGAGGCTGTCTAGGAGCCAGGAAGCAGGCTCTCACCACACACCAGATCTGCTTGTATCTTGATCTTGGACTTACCAGCCTCCAGAACTGTGAGAAATAAATATTTATTGGCTAAGCCATCTGGTCTACGGTATTTTTGTGATGGCAGCACAAACTGACTAAGACAAGGCCTTTATCCCTACTGGTGCCTCTGCATAGAACAGTCCTCCCTTGGCTGGCTCCTTCTCACCATTCACGTCTCAGCTCAGACGCCACTGCCTCAGAGCAGAAGTGAGAAACTGAGGTCCAGAGAGATGAACTGACTTACCCAGATCACACGGTGATTCAGTGGCAGAGCCAGAATTTAAACTCATGCCTGTTTTACTCCACTCACCTCACTCCCAAATATTCACTGTCGTATCACTTTAATTCTTTTGTAATACCTAACACCATCTGTAGCTCTCTCGTCTCCAAAATCTACACAACGGTATCTAACACAGAGTGGCACAAAATAAATTGGCAGGAGTCAGAACCTGCCTGTGGCTACTATCAGCAGACCACACAAGTCACCAGAGGCAGCTACCTTCAGCTGAGATGTCTGCTTCATTCTAGCCCAGCTGCTGCCCTGCTCTTCACCTGGAACAGAAGCTCTTACCCAGCTTCCCATAATGCTCAATGAGGTCCATCTTGGAAAGGAGGTTGATGTGGGGCAGCTCCACATGCAGCATGGTGGCCAGGGAGGTACACAGTACTGAAATGAACTTGGCAGGGTCTGTGCAGTAGTGAGAATCCACCAGGTGGACGGCAGTCAGCTGGGAGGGAAGAGACAGGGTCAGAGTGGCCTGGAGAAACAGGAATCAGCATTCTCTCATGATAATGAGGGCTTGAGGACAGAGGGGAAGCTTTCCCCATTAGTCTCCTTCTGCCTCTGTTTCTTTCTAATAACTACCCTCGTTTCCTTCTCCCAGGAAATAGGAGGCTTTTTTTTTTTCCTTACAAGATGTCTTGCACTGAGCCTCCCAGTGGGCAAGGGGTTTAAATCCCATGGCATCTGACTCCACTCTTTCATTTACTTTTGCCCACCAATTTACAACAATCTCCATGCCACTTTCTACATTAACCCCTTCCATACTTCTGAAATCGCCAAGTTGGCTACTAACACTCATTTTACACGTGAGTAAACTGAGGTTCAGACTGATGAACTGACTTATCAACACCACACAGCGAGTCAGTAGCAGAGCCAGATTTTGAACTCATGCCTGTTTTACTCCAAAGCAACTCAGCCCCTACCTCCCTGTGTGACATGGGGGTGTGGCGTCTGTCCTCCCTGTCTCAGTCACTCCATCCGCAAAATGGTCCTCCCCGCCCTGAGACTCACCCTGAGGTCCCACTGCGCCATTTGGGAGAAGATGCTGCGCAGGGCGCCGTGATGCGTGCAGAGCTCCACCTGTCCTGGGCAGTCGAAGAGGAAGTAGTGGCCGCGGAGGGGGTCCAGCTTGGCACGCAGCCAGTCCAGGTTGGCTTCCAGGTACTCCATGCAGTACAGCAGTCCGCCGTTGGGACCCAGGCGCAGCGCGTCCATCACGTCGCCCAGCCCCACCAGTTCGCCTACGTCCACGGCACACTCGTACGGCAGCCCCTCGTTGGCCGGGTCCAGGTTCACCACGGCCACGCGCCGGCCCAGCGCGCGCAGGAACTCACTCATGCCCAGACAGTACGTGGTCTTCCCTGAGCCCGGAGGGCCGATCACCGCCTGCCCGAACGCCGTGGTCGGAGCGGCCCCCGCCATGGGCGGCCCACGGCTCGGAGCAGGTCAGCTCAGAGGGAAAACGGGGCGAGCAGCCGCGCCGGAGACGAGACTGAGGGCGACGGACCCAGGACGTATACCTCGTTGGCGGCCAGCGTCACTCGCCTCAGGCGGAACAGCGGGGACACCGTCGCCAACGGGCCGGTACTAACTAGACTAACTTGACTTCCGGACAGCGTCGGAAGCCGCGGGCCAAGGAGAGGAAGTCCCGCCCTCAGGGCGGGGACGTAGCTCGACGCCGAGGGGAGGGCAGCGCAGCCGCGTTTTTCTCGCGGGGAATGGGTCGAATGTGGGGTCTTTGCGGGAAAATCTCTCTCGGAATTTCCCTGACCTTCCTTCAGACTCGAATTAGAAAAGAAAGGGAGCTCCAGTAGTAAACGTCTTTATTCTTCCGTGACGTCGCACACCCAAGCCACTTCCCGCGGACTCTCTGCTGCAGTCCCACCTAGTGAGGCGGTGAAGGGCCCGCCCAAGGCCGGCTCTTCCAAGCTCACAAATCCTCTCCTCGTCCAGGTCCCTTTCCCCCCCTTTCTGGCCTTCGTCGGGACACCTTCAGAGTCCCCATGGAAGGCTGTGCTGATAGCCTCACTCAATCCAGCTTTTCAAGATTCTGCAGGAGGCAAAGGGCAAGCCCAGAGACTAGGGTTAGAGACCAAAGACAATCGGTCGTTACCCCTGATATCCAAGGGGAGGGGACGGGAGGGGGCTTTTTGTAAAAATGCCCGAGGTAGAGAACCGGCAGGCAGGCAGGCAGGCTCAGAGCAAAGCACCCTGAACCAGCCACGAAGACTGCTGCTCCCAGACTCCTTTCTGCTTCAGTGGTAGATGAGGCCGGGGCAGAGGGTTCTCATCATGTAGCTATGAGATTCTGACCAATGAAGCCCCCAACCTGGTCAATCAGGCAATGAGGGGCTGTCTGAAGCACAACTGGAACCCCTCACAAAGGCCATGTCTGTCCGAAACTTCATGCTGGTGGGTGGCTGGCGGCGGAGCAGTGACTCCGTCTGGTCCTGGGGTAGAGGCTCATCATAGATGGTGGAGATGAGCCCCAGGCCATTTCTACGGGGCCTCTTCAGTTGCCCAAATGGCTGCAGCTTCTCTCCATGGTACCTGGATAAAAACGGGCTCTCAGTGAGAAGGGTGCTCTCAAATTCCAGTTAAAGGGGTTGGGAGAGGACGGGGAAGTAGCTACTACGTCTGGTTTGTCCAAAGACAGAGGCTTTAAATATGGGTCTTTGCTCTCCAGCCCTCTTATCTATCCATTGACAGTGCCAGTAAGAAGGGACCTCAGATAAAATTATCATTCTGTCACTACAGACTTCCTAATAGTAACCATCAAGTCCAAACTCCTCCAACAAAGGGTATGAATGATCTTGTTAAGCCTTAGGGCTCAGTCTTTAAAATT